AACCCACCCACGAGGATAGAATGTGGCACAAGACCGGTTTAATGTGGGTATCCCCGAGCCCGTAAGCTCGGCCAAAAATATAGCCTTCTTGAACCCGCCTAGACGGATTCAGGCCCTGTCTACCTCCCCGAACGAAACCTTGCCCTTCGGCAAAGCTTCGTCCGGGTTCCTCTCTGCTAATGCAGATAGTTCGACAGACGCTGACTCGGAAGCTCACAAAGGCAGCATACTACACTTTGATCATTGCTCCCGGGTAAAGTACTAGTATGCACAGCAAATACAGTTCCATGAAAGAATGGAAGAGAAGTGGCAAAAACAACTGCTCTCTCAAAAGGAAAAAATGGAAAATTTATTTCTGCAAACCCAGAAGGAAAATCAAGAGAGACATCTCGAATTTCGAAAGAAAGTTTTAGAACTGACAAGCCGTAGTAATCGCATAGAAAACGAATTTTCTTTTCCGCAAAACACCATTTAGAGAACGATAGATAATTTTTCATACACTCCCGAAGAAGACATAACCTTTGCGTCATACTTTAGGGGATATGAGGACTTATATACTACAGATTGTGCAAATTAGAGTGACTCGAAAAAAGTACGTCGTCTGAGGAAACTTGGCACAACTGAGCACACAAAATTCGTAAACTACATTCTGCCCCGGAAGTCTAATGAGTTGACCTTCACCGAAGCAGTGGAATTACTCATGGAGATTTTCAGTCCAAGGACATCTCTTTTCCATAAGAGATGGAAATGTCTTAATCTAACTAGGAAAGAATGGAAAGGTTAGACCACTTTTGCGTCAATAGTAAACAAGCACTGCGATGATTTTAGACTGGCAGAGCTAAGTGCGAATAACTTCAAATGTTTGATATTCGTGCAAGGACTAGTTTCAACAAAAGATTCAGAAATTAGGCGAAGAATACTAAATAAATTGGAGAATGAGTCGAATATAACTCTACAGCAGATCACGGAAGAATGTCAGAAGTACGTCAGTTTAAAGCAGGATTCTAAAAATATCGAAGAATCTGGTATTCCTCACGTCAAAAAAGTATGCTACAAACAGAAACAAAGTCTAATAAAACTAATGAAACAAAGAAAAAGCAAAATAATTTCCCCCCTAATTCATGTTACGGATGTGGAGCCCTACACTGGTACAAATATATTTTCCGAAACAAAAAATGTTACATATGTAACCGAGTCAGAACAAAAGCTCGCATTGCCGATCTAAAAATAAAACCAATAGCTATATAAAAAATACAAGGTAGGACGAACTAGACAGTTCTAATATTAGGAAATTCGTGCACGTAAAAATGTTAAACAAAAATGTGTAATTTCAACGAGATTCGGGTTCTGATTTAACTATAATAAACTTGCAAACATGGAAAAGATTGGGTAAGCCAACCATGATAAAATCTAGCAAGTTTACAAGATCAGTAACAGGTGAAAAAAATTAAATTCGATGGAGAATTGATTGCTAATACAACGTTCAACGGGAAGACATTTAAATTAAAATTGTTCGTCCTGAAAAATACTAACAACCTATTTGGCACTGATTGGATGACACAATTCCAGCTTTGGGATTTATCTGTAAATTCTTACTGCCAAAAAATTGAAAATTGGAATGCCGAAGCTGAAAAACTGAAAGAACTGAAGGAAGCTTATCCAAGAATTTTTTTCTGGTGGGTTAGTGTTGTAGAGTAGTTTCACAGTGGAGGCTTGTATTTCACTAAGTCGGTCCTAAAATAGGTTCGACGTACAAAACGTTAGGAACTTGATATAATAGGTAATGACGCAGAGACATCTAGTGGTGGTCGCTGATACTTTTAGTATCCGACATCGACTGGCTGACCAACTCACTCAGCTACTGACTTAGCCACTGCTACTACTTATTATAGGTGGGCGAGTCTATTAACTATAGAATAGGTGTGTTCCAGTATAACAGTTAGGCACGTCTTAAAGAGACTAAATATGATTTTTCATGGAAAAAATCAAATTCCTAGGACACATAATCGACAAGGATGGAAAGAGACCATATCCTGAACGTGCTGCCACGATTAAAGACGCCCAATAACATCGTCTCATTGCAGAGCTTCCTTGGACTAGCAAATTATTACTAGGCATTCATACCAAATATGCATCATTTGCGTGCCCCGCTTAATGAACTATTAAAGAAAGACAATCCATGGGTTTGGACAGCAGAATGCCAGGAGGCGTTTGAAAAAATAAAGAAAACACTGACGTCAGACTTATTTCTTACACATTACGACCCGGACTTGGAAATCATTGTTGCCAGCGACGGTAGTTCGTATGGCGTAGAGGCATGCAATTCTCAAGATGACAATATGGAACAGTAAAACCGACAGCTCACGTGTCGACAGATTTGCTTCCTGCGGAAAAAAAAAATTATTCGCAGATTGAAAAAGAGGCGCTTTGGATTATATTCGCAGTCACGAAGTTCCACCGCTATATTTACGGTCGACATTTTACTCTACAGACAGACCACAAGCCACTACTCACTATTTTTGGCTTAAAGAAAGGTCTTCCTACTCACACAGCCAACAGACCGCAGAGATGGAGGACAATCCTGCTAAATTACAACTTTAAAATGGAGTACGTGTCATCAAAAGAAAATTCGGCCATGCGGACGGATTATCAAGACTAATTCCCAAGTACCAAAGAACCACTGGAAGATACAGTTCTCGCCTCCCTTCAAACTGAAAGAGAATTAAAAACTACCCTTTGTAATACAGTAAGGGAACTTCCAGTAATGCTTGAACAAATAAGACAAGAGACTCTCCATGATGAGTATATCAAGCAAATAAAAGCGAAAATTTTTGAAAAGGACATTTACTCTATATGCCACGAGGTGTTATTATACAAGGAACGCGTCAACACTTCAGAAGCGTATTTTGAAAGCACGCTAGCCATCCAGGTAGTACTAAAATGAAAAGTTTGATGCGTAGCTATGTCTGTTGGCAAAACAAAGATATTTGAAATGGAAATAATGATAGAAGAACAACAGGCTTGTAACTTTGCACTTGTGGGGAAAGTGGCTGTATAGCCAACCCAGATGATGTGTGTGTATCAGGTAAGCCAATATTGTTTGCTGGATAAATGTTCCAGGGGCCCATAAATACGAAATGCTTATACATATCACAACTAAAGAGGTGATACCCACAACATAATGGTAACATGTTTATCTGAGCAGCATAAAATCCCACATGTTCTAAGCTAACAGTTTCTTCTGCTGAACTTCTTGCTTGTGAAACTCACTTCCAGCTTCTTGCTTTCCAATCAATTTTTATCTAGAAAAATGTAAATGCAATGTCAATCATTATCTTCTGTCTTCTTAACTCCTGTTCTTTTATTGTTCTCTCACTTTAATAATATTTTTTTCATAATCTCTCACACTTAGCAACCCCCTCTCGAAATCTTAGTGGCTTTATTACCTTGCTTTGGGTGAAATTATTTTAAAAAATGCAACAAAAACATGCATAGCAATTGTTTGGCACTTGCAAACAACCTTTATTCACAAAACCCGAAAAATATGTTAGCCATCACATGAGGTTGTTTTTATAGCACTATTTAAATTTATGCCTCTGATAAGGTCTTTAAGTATTTTTGAACTAGTTACTAACCAAATGAGAGTTAAAATCAGAATTTTTCTTGAGAAATTGAGGGAGTAAATTTGTATTTCCTGTTCAATCAGTTATGTGCCATGTGTGATACACACTTTCGATACATGACTGATGAGGCAGATTTTTTTCCCCGCAGTAGGTTGCCATTTCTTTCTGCAGTAGACCAGTTGACATCCAAGGCTATAGACCCCAGTCTGTCCTGCTATTTACCCATACTTGGATGGAGAAGAAGAATAAGATTAATATCTTTCCCAGGGGAAAGTGAATGCAATGAATTCGACTGGAATTTGAACTCGGCTCGCCAATTTCCTCAATCCGAGTCACTATCCATTAATCCACCATCCTTCCTTGTTCAAACAATGTCTTTAAGAGTCTTTTTTCTTAAATCCATACTTGAATTACTAGATATAAGTTGAGTTGCAGTCCCACTATATTTTTTCTTTTTCCCATATTCTTTGATGCTCAGTAAGCCTCCCTTGCATCTTAGTGGCTTTATTGCCTTGCTTGGAGTGAAATGATTAAAAGAAAAAGGATAGGCTCTTTGTATCATTCCCCTAGGAGTCAATTCACTAATGATTGACTAATATCTTCCCCTTTTTCTATTGTTGGCAGCCCCAGATTTTTTTTTTGAAAACTTGACTCAATTCCCCAGAAAAGAACAAGGCACAAATTGCCAAAACCTTACTTACGAAACTGGCCTAGTCCTCCCCATATAGTTATTCTTCACAAGAAAGGCATTGTCTCCGACAGGGGCAGAAAGAATCTTCCAATTGCTTTTAGCCAATAAAGTTAAATATTCTTCTATTTAAACGCCAAATCAAGGCCATTGTCCATGGCTGATGATTATTAAGGTCATCTATTCTGTGAATGGATCCAATGACAAGGACCCAGTTGGTCATTTGTTGCTGTTAACCAAATAGCCAATTCATTTAATCTTCCAATTTTATTGCTTCTTTAGTTCCACTTTTTTTTTCCTTCTGAAGAATCGTTGAAATTCTTTCTTTTGGAAATTCATCTGTATTTTCTCCAGCAATAAGATCTTTATTTACTTTCATTTTCATTCTTTGTATACTTGTTCCGCTCTCTCCAAATTCTTTCATTAACTACTTCGTCTTCTTCTTCTTTTTCTCTGATTTGTATTTGATTGGCTAAAGTGTTATAAAACTTTCTTTTCATTTCTTTTACTCAAATCTCTTTTTTTTCTCTCTCTCTCTCTCTCTCTCTCTTTCTATTCTCACCTTTTTTTACTCACCAATAAACACAAAATCTCGATTACAAGTTTACCACAACTGAATTCTGTAACCCACAGATTTTTCTGCCCTTAATAAATATTGTTTCTTCTTTTCCTTCTCTCACCATTCTCAGCATTTTTTCTCTGCAGTTTTCTTTCATTTTATAACAGTTTTCACAATATTCTCTCTGCTATCCCTGTCCTTCCCTGCCATTCTCTCTATTTCCCTCTATATTCCTCTCTATATATTTTTCATTTCCATTTGCCATTTCTTTATTTTTTTTCTCTATCTTTCTTTCTCTTTCACACACTCTGTCTCTGTCCCTGTCTCTGTCCCTGTCTCTGTCTCTGTCTGTCTGTCTCTCTCTCTCTCTCTCTCTCTCTCTCTCTCTCCGTCTCATGAACTAATTTTTGCTTTGATTGGCTATTTTCTTTTACTTTACTTTTTCTGACTGGCCATTTTTTGTTCTAGTCTTCTATTTCAATTTTATGTCGGGAAAGCAGATTTTTCCTTTCTTTCTTTTTGTATTATCTGCTTTTCTTTCTTTCTTTCTTTCTTTTTGATTGTCTGCTTTTTTGTTCTTTCTTTTTATTGTCTGCTTTTCTTTCTTTTTATTGTCTGCTTTCTTTTCTTTCTTTTTATTGTCTGCTTTCTTTTCTTTCTTTTTGATTGCCTGCGTTTTGTTCTTTCTTTTTATTGTCTGCTTTCCTTTCTTTCTTTCTTTCTTACTTTTTATTGTCTGCTTTGCTTTCTTTCTTTTTATTGTCTGTTTCCCTTTCTTTTTTATTGACTACATTTTGTTCTTTCTATTTATTGTCTGCTTGTCTTTCTTTTTATTCCCTTCTTTTTATCTTTCTTTCTTTTTTATTGTTTGCTTTTCTTTCCATACTTTATTTTCCTCTTTTTATTTGCTGTTTATTCTATACTTGTTTTACTTTCTGCTGGTTCTTTTTTCTTTTTTTATTGGTTATTTTTTCATTCAATTATCTCTTTGCTTTTTACTTTTCATTCATTTTACACATATTTTCCCTTCTACTTTATCAATTTAATAAAATTATTTTCCTTGGGCATTTCGTTTTCAACATTTTACTTTACACTTTTTCAAGCATGTTTTCTTTTATTATCATCAATCTTTTGCTTCCAATTTTTTATTTGCCTTTTTACATTTCAGTTATTTTCATTCTTTAGTTTTTCCTCTCTAACTTTCTTCTTTTTCATATACTACATTCTACCTTCCTTCAGTCTACTTTTTCCTAATTCTTCCTCCATTTCTATTCCTTATTATTCTTCACTTTCTCATCATTATTCTTTCTACCTTTCTATTTGTTATTCTTCTTCTCTTTGTATTCTTCTTTTTCTATTCATTATACTTCCTTCCTTTCTAGTCCTAATTCTTCCTCCATTTTCTATTCCTTATTATTCTTCACTTTCTCATCATTATTCTTTCTACCTTTCTATTTGTTATTCTTCTTCTCTTTGTATTCTTCTTTTTCTATTCATTATACTTCCTTCCTTTCTAGTCCTAATTCTTCCTCCATTTCTATTCCTTATTATTCTTCACTTTCTCATCATTATTCTTTCTACCTTTCTATTTGTTATTCTTCTTCTCTTTGTATTCTTCTTTTCTATTCATTATACTTCCTTCCTTTCTAGTCCTAATTCTTCCTCCATTTCTATTCCTTATTATTCTTCACTTTCTCATCATTATTCTTTCTACCTTTCTATTTGTTATTCTTCTTCTCTTTGTATTCTTCTTTTTCTATTCATTATACTTCCTTCCTTTCTAGTCCTAATTCTTCCTCCATTTCTATTCCTTATTATTCTTCACTTTCTCATCATTATTCTTTCTACCTTTCTATTTGTTATTCTTCTTCTCTTTCTATTCTTCTCTTTCTATTCATTATACTTCCTCCCTTTCTAGTCCTAATTCTTCCTCCCTTTCTATTACTTATTATTCTTCTCTTTCTCATCTTTATTCTTTCTCTTTTTCTATTGCTTATTCTTTCTCCCTTTCTATTCCTTGTTCTCCTTCTCTTTCTATTCTTCTCTTTCTATTCATTATACTTCCTCCCTTTCTAGTCCTTATTCTTTCTCCCTTTCTATTCCTTATTATTCTTCTCTCTCTATTCTTCTTTTTCCATTCATTATACTTCCTCCCTTTCTATCCCTTATTCTTTCTCCCTTTCTATTCCTTATTCTTCTTCTCTTTTTATTCTTCTTTTTCTATTCATTATACTTCCGCCCTTTCTATTTCTTATTCTTTTTTCCCTTTTTTATTCGTTCTCCCCTTTCTATTCTTTCTCATCTTTCTTATTCTGTCGCCCCTTTCTTATTTTTCTTTCTTTTCTTACTCTTTATCCCTTTCTCTATTACTTCTTGCTTTATTCGTTCTCTCTTTCTATTCTTTTTTTCTGCATTCTTTCCTCTTCATATAGAGCTTTTTTTATCAGTTAGTGATTTCCAGGGTCCTTTACAACCATTTCATTCTTTAAACTTGTTATCTTTCTTCATGAAATATTTACTTTTTCTGCTTTAATAATATTTCTTTACTTTCTTCTCAATTCTTCTTTCTTCATCTATTTTTTTCTTCCTTTTACACTTTTTCATATTCTCTTTCTGTAAAATCTCCTGATAAAAATACCTTAATTCATCTTTTCTTTTCATCATTTTCTTTCTTTATTTTTTATTTTCCACATTAAGTTACCTTTTTCTTTCTTTCTTTCTTTCTTTCTTTCTTTCTTTCTTTCTTTCTTTCTTTCTTTCTTTATCATTTTCTTTCTTTTATTTTTGCTTTTCTTTCTTTACTCTTGCTTTTTTTTCATATCAGTTTTTGTTTATTCTTTTTTTTCTTTCTTTTTGTGTCTATTTCTTTCGTTGTATCAAATTGCCTTTGTTGGAATGACATTTTTTCATTCTTTTCTGATGTTAGTTCTTCTTTCTTTTTTTTCTTTTTTACTGAGATCAATTTTCTTTTTTTATCAAATTTTTCTTTCTTCTTTCTTTCCTATATTTTGACGATAAATTTCTTTTTCTTTCTTTCTCTATCACATTCTTTCCGTTGTTCACTTTCTCTTTTTGCATCTTTTTTTATTTGCTATAACCTTTTGTGCTTTTCTATCTGGTATCACATTATTTTTTTTTATTTTTTATTTTTTTTATTTCTTTCTTTTTTTTTTCTCAACAGTTTTTCTTTCTACTCATTCTCCAAGTCTTCTCCTTTCCTTTGCTATCATTTTTCTTTCTTTCCTTCACTTTAAATTGCAGTTCTTTTCTTATACTCTTTCCATCTTACTTACATCTTCCATCTTTCTCACTTTTATGTCTTTATTCTTTCTTTCTTTCTTTCTTTCTTTCTATTCCTTGTTCTTTCTTTTTCTCTCTCTCTCTTACTATTCCTTATTCTTCTTTATTATTTCTCTCTTTCTATCCCTTATTCTTTCTTATTCTTTCTCTCTTTCTATTCATGATTCTGCTTTATTCTTTCTCTCTATCTATTCTTTATTCTTCTTATTCAGTCTCTCTCTGATCATTATTTTTCTCTCTTTCTATTCCTTACTTTTTCTCTCTACATATTTTGTATTCTTCCTATTCTCTTTCTATTCCTTATTCTTCCTCTCTTTCATTTCCTATTTTTATCATTAATTCTCTCTCTCTCTCTCTCTCTCTCTCTCTCTATTCTTTATTCATTCTCATTCTTTCTCTCTCTTCCTATTTTTTATTCTTCCTTATTTCATCCTTCTCTCTCGCCTTCTCTCTCTTTCTCTTCCTTATTATTGTTTATTCTTTCTATCCATTATTCTCCCTTATTCCGTCTCTCTCTCCATTCCTTATTCTTTCTCCCTTTCTATTCCTTATTCTTTTTTTTATTTCTTCTCTCTCTCTATTCATTATTCTTGTCTTATTCTTTCTCTCTTTCTGCTACTTATTTTCCCTTATTCTCTCACTATATATACTCCTTATTCTTCCTTATTATTTCTTTCTTTCTATTGCATATTCTTCCTAATTCTTTCTCTCTTTCTATTCCATATTCTTCCTTATTCATTTTCTCTATTCCTTAGTTTTCTTATTCTTTATTCTGTTTGTCTTTCACTCTTTATTCATTATTCTTTCTTTTTCTTTCTCTCTCTCTATTTCTTATTCTTCTTTATTCTTTCTCTCTTTCTATTCCTTATTCTTCCTTATTCTGTCTCTCTCTCTCTCTCTCTCTCTTCATCATTTTTCTTATTCTGTCTCTATCTATATTCCTTATTCCTCCTTATTCTTTCTCCCTTTCTGTTCCTTTATTTATTCCTCATTCTTCCTCTCCAACTCTTGTTTTTCCCTACCTACTTCGTAATCCTATTTGCCCCTGGCTCATGATTAAATCTTTCAGTGTCTTTCTTTAGTTAACTGACCATCATCCTCTTTGTCATCAGCTAAAAGCTTATTACACAACTAATTCTCAAAGCCTCTTCACAAGAGAAATTGAGTTGTGTTTTTGGTCTCTTTAAGCCACGTCTCCAAGTGACAGTACCCTCATTGTTACCTATTTACAAGCCCTGTTAGGCCACATAGATTTGACATTGATGAAGGAAGCCCACTGCAGTGACAACAAATGCAGAAATAAAGTAATTGGCATGAGTAGAAGACAGGAAAGAACGAGAAAAAAATGCTTTGTCCAAAACGTGCTTGGTTCTGGCTTCAGGTTTGAATGCTTTCACTGTTTAATAGCCTTTTGAACACTAGTAACTAAAACATGTCCCTGATTCAATTTTGGTGTTTAAGGTGATCATCATGGCTTCACTTCTTTAGTCCTTTGGCTCTTTCTACTTGTAGACAAAATAAGCAGGCCAAAGATCTCAAAATATATATCCTTAATAATGCGTACAAAATATTTTACTTTCTTCTCTACTGGCAAGATTAATTGATACTGGCTGGGATAAAAAAAAAAAAAAAGAAAACTTTAAGAAGGCTATAATTATTTTATAGTATGGTTTTATTTTTTCACAGTAATTTTCATTTAATTTGCCTAGAATTGACATTTTTGTTTGAATGATTGAAAAAATTATTGCAAATTTTCAACTGCAATTTTCAACTGACATGACTCTAAGCACCAAAGAAAATAGAATTGTTGAAATGAATTTATTTACCCATTCTTACTTTCTTTCTTTCTTTGATTTTTATTTCTTTCTTTCTTAATATTTCGTCACTCATTCTTTTTTCTTTCTTTTTCTTTTACTCTTTCTTTCTTCTTTCTTTCTTTGATTCTTATTTCTTTCTTTCTTAATATTTCTCCACTCATTCTTTTTTCTTTCTTTTTCTCTTTCTTTCTTTCTTTCTTTCTTTTATTTCTTTTTTTTCTCTTGTTCTGAATATTTATCCATTCTTTTTTAATATTTTCCCATTTTATATTTCTTTCTTTCTTTCTTTCTTTCTTTCTTTCTTTCTTTCTTTCTTTCTGTTTCTCAACTCCACCTTTCTTTTATATTTTCCTATTATTCTTTCTTTCTATTTTTTCATTCTTCCTTTCTTTTCTATTTTCCTTTTCGTTCTTTCTTTCTTTCTTTCATTCTATTTCTCCTCTCCTCATGTATTTTATATCTTCATACTCTTTCTTTCTTTCTTTCTTTCTTTCTTTCTTTCTTTTTTCTTTCTTTTTCCACTTTCCTTGACTTTTCTTTCTTTCTTTGTATTTCTCCTCTCTTCATGTCTTTCATATTTTCCTAGTCTTTCTTTCTTTTTCTTCCTTCCTTTCTTTTCTATTTTCCTTCCTTCCTTCCTTCCTTCCTTCCTTCCTTCCTTCTTTCTTTCCTTCCTTCCTTCCTTCCTTCCTTTCTTTTTCTTCTCTCTTCGTCTTTTATATTTCCTACTCTTTCTTTATTTGTTTTTTCTTTTCTTTCTTTTTTCACTTTTCTTTCTTTTCTTTCTTTCTTTCTTTCTTTCTTTCTTTCTTTCTTTCTTTCTTTCTTCTCTTGATGTCTTTCATATTTCCCTACTCTTTCTTTCTTTACTCATCTTTACTTTTCTTTCTTTTTTCCTTTCTTTCTTAATATCTTAACGTTAGTCTTCATCAAATGAGGCTAGTCCTTGAGGCTGAAGCATTATTACCACCAACAGGGTACCAGAGAAATACTTCATGCTATCAGTAATATTTGCTTTTCTAATTCATATACATCCATGAGCTTTTTAATATATTTCTCTTTTCTGTTGAAAACAATCTGATTTTGGTCAGTTATATTGAGTTAGAAATAAAACCTCAACAATCAACTTCTATAGGAAATATATTGGCCATCTAGCCATACTACTTAGATTTAAATAAAATGTTTGAAGAAGAAAATGCTTTAGAAATTCAAAGAAATGAATAGAAACTATATCATCATTCATCATTTGAGATTTGTTGTTCGCAAACCCTTGGAAATGATTCATACTGAGGTATGTTTTGAGTTCAGTAGTCAAGGCTTATTAGGTATAGACTGAAATCATCTGTATGTAATCACCACTAGATGAAAAAAAATACAAAAAATATATAAAAGTAAAATATTTGTGCTGTTCCAGAAAAGAAGGAAAACACAAAAAATGAAGAGTAATAACAAAGAAAAAAAGAAGCAAAGAAAGAGAAAATGATCCGGAAAGAAAGAAAAAAAGAAATTGATCTCCCAAAATATATGAAAGAAAGAAGAAAGAAAAACATTGTTACCAGAAAAAAAAGAAAAAAAAAGAAAGAAAAAAGGAATAAAGAAAAATTAACAAAGAAAAAAGAAGCAATGAAAGTGAAAATGATCAGGAAAAAGAAAGAAAAAAGAAATTGATCTCCAAAAATATATGAAAGAAAGAAAAACATTGATACCAGAAAAAAAAAGAAAAAAAAAAAGAAAGAAAAAAAAAGGAATAAAGAAAAATTAACCCCAGAAAAGAGCGCAAAAATACCATTCCCAAATAAAGGAAAATTGATACCAGAAAAAAAAAGAAAGGGAACCAAAAAAAAAAAAAAGAAAGAAAAAAAGGAATAAAGAAAGACTAACATCAGAAAAGAATGAAAAAATATCATTCCCTTCCTAAATAAAGGAAACTGATACCAGGAAAGTAAAAAAAAAAAAAAAAACGAAATAAAGAGAAAATGATATTAACAAAGAAAAGAAAGAAATGCAGAAAAAAGAAAGAAAATGAAAAAAAAAACAGAAAGAAAGAAAAAGAAAAAACAGAAATAAAGAAAAAAGAAAACTGATGTGGAAACAAAATTAATATAAACAAATTTTGACATAAAAATTATGTCTGTTCAATACAAAATGTTATCTGCACCAAAAACTGATACAAAGATTTCTCATTTCCCACCAGATAAATTTTCAGCAATATGCAATACTGTTATACCGGAACATACCTATTCTATTGTTAATAAACTCACCCACATATAATAAGTAGTAGTAGTAGCAGTCGCCAGTGAGTTCAGTCTGAAGTCGGACGACCAGCTGACCGGTTGAACTCTCTGCCTTCGGGCGGGGAGGAACCCGAACGAGGCTACGCCGAAGGGCGAAGTCTCTTTTGGGGAGGTAAACCGGCCCTGAACCCGTTTATACGGGTTCAATGGGCATATTTTTGGCCGAGCCTACGGGCTCGGGAACCCCACATTAAACTCGGCCTTGTGCCACATGTAACTGCGTGGGGCAGTGACTAAATAGCCTTAGTGGAGTTGGTCGAGTCAGTCGATGTCGGACAGTAAAGTATCAACCATCACAACTAGATTGCTGCGTCGTTAACTATTATTTCAAGTTCCTAACGTTTTGTACGTCGAACTCTTTTAGGACCGACTTAATGAAATACAAGCCTCCACTGTGAAAACTACTCTACAGCAAATACATAAAAAACAAATAAGAAGCCTGACTTCTCAATGCAACAAACTTGCAGCTATCTCTTCTATATGCCATGTCCGTTTAGAGTGTTTGTGATCATGTCTCATCACAGTTTTCTGTCCTTTGTAGCTTTTAATAAATTTTGTCTTTTTGTTATCTCTCCAAACAATATTTTGGAGAGATAACAAAAAAACAAAATTTCTATGATCCATTTACTCAAACTCGCTAGGTAGCTTATGCACTGTTTTCTTTGATTTTTTGCTTGTCCTGTGAGTATCAAATTTTCCAAACCTTCTTTCCTCATTATGTGCACAAAGAATATCAACTTTTTAGGATAGGTTCATATGAATAGAATATGTATACTTTGTAAGAAATCAGTTTGTAGACCAAGATTCATTGATGTATTTTGTAAGGGTTTTTGTCAAGAATCAAATGTATTGCTGGTAATTTTTTTTTAAATGTGTTGCTGGTATTTTTACTATAAAAAATCTATTTTTATACTTTCATAGTGCTTTTGACCCCAGTTCGGGCGTTCACTATTTGCCCATAGTTGGAACAACAGCAATTAAGATGTGGTTCCCAACTTCTGAAAAACTCCCAATCAGAGGCCTTGCTGCCGGTTGTAGTTTATCGTCATACCCGGGGCATCCATAATCCATTCACACAAGCTTAGCAGATAGGTTGTGCATTGCTTTCCTTT